CAAACCTCCCATATGAAGATATACTGTGACAAAGGTGAATCGCTTGCACTTTACTTGGGAAGAAAGACAGGATGAAATAATTGAGTAAGGAAATGTTTGGCAAGCTTGGCTCTTACCTCTATATGTGCTGAGTACTGTTTGTTGAGGGATATCCCAGATCTTCACACTAGACATAAAATTCAGATCAGATTCATGATTAAAAAATATAGATGTTTTTATATAAAGCAGAAAAACAACAGCACAAGAGTCACCTGAAATCTTTGCTGCCACTGATGGCCTGTGTGTTGTTGGAAACAACACTCACAGTTGTCACAATGTCATCATGTTCGTATTTACAGAATTTGTTCACTATCAAAGTCTCATTCTCATCCAGCTCCCAAAATTCCAGAGCACCTGAGGAATAGGGGAGGAGAAAGTCAAATTCATATACTGCAGCTTGCATTATTTGATTGTCTTACTCCAAAAACTTCAGTTTGTATATAACTTGGCAGCTAGGCTTGTCCTAGTAAGAATGTAAAGAGTCCACATTACACCTGGGCTTAAAGCACTCCAGTTGACAATTTTAAGGCCCTTCAAGACTTAGATCCAGTCTATCTGACAGAACACCTTGTTTCATACGAACATCCATTTTATAGATTGTCTACCTTCGTGTGGCTAAAGTTGCTAAGAGTTTGTCTGATTTGGAACCAAGCCTTCTCTTTTACAGTCTCAGTTCTTTAGACCACATTCTCTATAGAGATGGGTCTAATATTTCCATTAGCCTTTTAAAAAACCCATTAAAACGTATATGTTTCTGTCAACCTTTAAAATATGATTTTCAAGTTATTTTTAAATGTTTAAGTTTGCTATGTTCAATATTTCTAATGTTTGCATTTAAAACCCTGAAAGATTTCAGTACTGAGCAGTGTGTTGAAATTAAATCGTAACCAAGTTGCTCAGCTGTGATATGTGGTATTTTGATTTGTTCCATCAAATGTTCATTGGAATATGGGATACCCTAAACTACAATAAAACGCAGTTTCATTACAAAAAGGAAGAGACATTACTCAAGCACTCACAAGATCCTTCAATAATTTTTACATCACTGATTGTTTGGCTAAATCACACACATGGAATAGATAAGGCAGAGAGAAATAGACACTTTTATTTTGTCACTGGCTTTAAAAAAGAATTAAAGCAAAACCCCAAATTTGCATTTTGTATCCAAACTCCATTGTCCAGTTTCTCCAGAATATTCTGATTTTCTATATGATCATTCTATTATTTTCTGGAAGTGATTCTTCCAATATTGGAAGTAGTTTTCAGCATTCTTGAATCACCATGTTCTAGGAAATTTCATTCTATCTTTGACACTATCTTTAAACTCTAACAAGTTTTAGGAGGCAAATATCTTTTGACACTCACCTGAATCTGATGCTACCAAAATTCCTTTGTCTGCTACCCACTTCAGATCTGCTATTCCTGCTTCGGTTTGAACACCCGCAGAGCAAAAGCCTTCATTAGGAGCTCTTGATGTATCTTTGAATACCCAAATGGAACCAACCCAGCAACGTCCACTCAAACTGGATGCCCCCAGAAGCAGAGAACCATCTGAAAAGCAAAATTAAAACAGATTAGTGAAATAAAATATTTTAATATATAATGAATAAAGCATACAAAGACTTGAGTTTTGCATTTTACCCAGGACCTTTGTTCTTCAACAGAGGACTGTTCCAATAAAGAAAATATAGTTTTGTCTTGAATGATGTCCTTAATTCTTAGTCCAGTTTTCGATTCTACTCATAGTGAGAGAGAGTAGTATAGGCTTTTTTTTTGCATATACTTTCAATTTACCAAAAAGAGTAAAATGAGTATATGTTTAAAGTATAAAAATATGAAGCAGCTAATGGAATGCTGAGGACAAAGATATATTTCATGACAGCACTAAAAATATCTGAGTAATAGAAGGGAATTCATTCAAAGATGATCTAGCTGTTTGCCAAGGTGAACATTTAGACTCAGAGTTCACCAAACTGTTATTTAAGATTTTTTTTATAACTAAAAAAAGATCAGAGGATTGTTCAACTCAGGTAAGGTTTGAATCTGATTTTTAAATGACAAACATTTATCCATCTTTAAATGATGATAAAATTGCATAAGAGGTGCCTTTCAATCAACATTCACATGGATGTGTGTGTGTCTGTGAACCTTCACATATGGAGAAAAGCTGTCTTTCCCGAGTGGTGTCCAGGTTTACAAATAATGCATTACACATGAATACTTTAATATACAACTATAGAAGCAGACCAAAGCACAGTGATTGGTACTAGCAGTTTATATTCCTAAAAGTGATTGATAACCTCAAAGAACTTTCAATAACCAGGTGATGTCTATATTTACTATATTAAAAAATGAAACCGACAGTTTAAAATGTTATTTGGGAATCATACTTTAAAATCGACTGATTTAGACTAGAGCACCCTTGCCTACATCAGACTAGGATATCTGCAACTGCTACTGTCAATCCTCATCACTTGCTATGAAAGATGGGGATTGTAGGCAAGGATAGCTGGAGTTTGAAGTGCGGGAAGACTGATCCTACAGTAAGAGTTTTATACTCTATAGTGCAGAGGTCTTCAAACTTGGCAACTTTAAAACTTGTGGACTTCAACTCCCAGAAGTCCACAGGTCTTAAAGTTGCCAAGTTTGGGGACCCCTGCTGTAGTGATTCAGAACATCGCAGGATAATTGTTAAGTTTCTGCCATTTTTTTAAAAAAGCCGAATAGAAATTATAAACACATCAAAAGGCGGCAGATTTAAATTGCGTATAATGAGTACTATATAAAATATATCAACAGAATGAAACTCGGCTCACATGGCAGAAATGGCCAATTTAAGAGAGGCTCCAGTTAACAGCGGAGTTCAGAAGAAAGATAACGTGGGCAGGGCACCCACAAGGCATACGACATCCTTGGATCCCCAGCCACAAGAACCCCGTAAAAGATCGCAAGATCTCTGAAATGCAGGCTGCAGGCTGCAGCAGCTTGCTGCCTTTCAGACGTTCGGGGCTACACCTGTCATTATTCCCTGGCAGCGATGGTGATGAGTTGTAACAAAGGGCGCCTGGGGACATCAACGTGGTAAACACTCGAGGGGTACCTGTTCGGTAATGGGCCCCGTCCAGGTGGCGCTCCATGCAGGCGGGAGCATTGGGCGGAATATTCCACTCGGGTCCGGCTTCTGTCTCCACTGCATGGCCGGGACTCGCCTTGGCTTCTTCCATAGATGCAGCAGTGAAATGCTGTCCAACAAACTCCAAGAACGCCCACGTGTTCCAAAAAAGACACTCTTACCGCTCCGATAGTGCTCTCCCTTATCTCGCGAGAGCTTCCAAAATACCCTCAAGGCGGAATTCAAGAGTGTGCCTGCTTTTCTCGCGATATTTTCCTAGACCGTATAATCGAATTATATAGAGCTAGAACCAAGTGTTTCTAAATCTTAGCCATTTAAACCGTATGAACTTCAACTCCCAGAATTCCGCAGCCAGCATCTCGCGAGAACTTCCAAGATTCCCTTCCAGGGAAGGAGTCAAGGCAGTATATGATTTTCTTGCGAGATTTTCCGAGACTACAGAATCAAACTCTATAGAACAGAATAGGAACCAATAGAGAATAGGAATCAATGTTTCTCAACCTCAATAACTTAAGTTGTGTGGACCAACTCCCAGAATTTTCCGGTTAGAGAAAATTCCCCATAGTGGCTAGGGAATTCTGAGAGTTAAAGTTCACTCTTAAATTGCTGAGATTCAGAAACACTGAAATAGAAGACACTTAACTAACAAGACAATTTACATTATGGAGCTTAACTTTTTCTCAGTGTAGGAATTTAAATTAACGTACAGATGGCTACCAAGCCTGCACTTGAACTTATCACGGAGAATGCTATTAAAATAAGTCATATTTTAATATTGCTATAGACTTGGCCCTTTTCTTATATAAATGCATGGCTTTACAGCTATACTTTGGAATGATGGAGAACAGGACTATAGCTATTATGAATCTTGATGTCAAAATGATCAAAGATGTCATATCACAGTGCTGTTTTTGTAGCTGTATACTACTACTGTATTATACAAATATGCAATCAACTACTATTCCAAGATACTTTTCATTAGAACTTTTGCCAGGCCAGGGGTCCCCCACTCCAAAATCTAAGGGAAAGTGTTAAACTGCATTCTGTCTGTAGTATTCATCTCCAATCAATCAATGTAATTTGAACTGACATTTATCAGGTATGATTGTTGTAAGACTTCGGAAAATGGATTAAATGGCTGTAATCATGTTGAATTCTGGAATCCTACTATATGGTTCTAAACAGCTGTATCTTGAGACTTCCTAGTACATTACCAAGTGTTCATAAATACATTTTCACTTTCAGCTGTGCAATGCATGCACAACAGCTTTATTTTACATAATTGCTCATTTATTTTAGTTTCATTGTAACAATTTTGGAGATTCGTTTTAGAGGTGAAAAATGATATAGACATGTTGAATGAATGAATGAATGAATGAATGAATGAATGAATGAATGAATGAATGAATGAATGAATGAACGAACGAACGAACGAACGAACGAACGAACGAACGAACGAACGAATAGCGGCATTGCCTTGCCTTGAAGTAATCTCAACCACAGCCTGGAAAAATGAGACCAATGATACATTTAAACTGTGGGGTGATACGAACCACTGTCAGTTTACCAATTGTTTAAAAGGGTCGTATCAGATTTCCCCACAAACTCAAGCTTGAAAAAGAGCATATTTCGGCATCAAAGAAACACAGTCCTGCATTCACCAATAGATATCCCTGTCAATTTTTTTTTAAAGCTCCGCGGGTATTCCCCCCACCCGCCTAGCTTTTTAACTACTCTCCGTTCCCTTATCGTAGCTCTATGGTGATAGCCCTTGAGTCGGAGGCGGCGCTAAGAGGACACAGCGCGAGTCCGGTTTTCTCGCGAGATTCTGGTGACGGAGGCGGCCATTTTAGTGCTGTGACCGGGGGTCACAGGGACGTTGGGCAGTGCGGGGGAAGGCAGGATGCTCTCTCGCTTGGCGTTGCGTGCCCTGGGTGAGTAAATTGAGAGAGGGGTGGCCCAGGGGGCGCGAAGCCGGGGAGGAGGCGTTGCACTGTGACCTGATCTGCTTTTTCGCCCTCTCTGCAGCCCCGGCCGCCCTGAAGAGCTCGGTGGCTCTACCCTCCCTGTCATCGGGGTGAGTATAGTTGGATCAGCGGGAAAGGGAATGAGACGCGCTGATGGCCTAGAAAGCTGGGGCTGGGCCCCTGGGGCTTCTCTGTTAAAAACACCGGTTTGTTCCTGCCTCGAGTGAACCCACACGCCATTTGTCCTAAAAGGTGCTTTTTTTTCAGGAGGCAACTGGACTTCCTTGTTTTCCCTTTGAGGACGTTTCCCTTCTCATCCAAGAAGCTTCTTCAGCTCTGACTGGATAGTGGGGAATGGAAGGATTTATATTACTTGCAGACAAGCTGGTCATTTGCATCCGTTTAGAAGGTCATTGATTGAAGCACTTGGAGGTTTATCTGTGTCCCCGGGGTCACCTGAGTGGTGCTCCTATTTCCTGTGGACTGCAATTTTTCCTCTGGAAACCCATTCTGACTCCAATGCCATTCAAAGGATGTTTATCCCAAATTGTATAACTAAAAGTCTGAACAGATTCTCAGTCATCCAAGTCACGGTTGTCCTAAAGGTGCTTTTTCAGGAGGCAACTGGGCTTTCTTGTTTTTTCTTTTGAAGATATTTTACTTCTCATCCAAGAAGCTACTTCAGCTCTGACAGGATAGTGGAAGGAATGGAAGGATTCATATTCCTTGCAGACAGCTGGTCACTTGCATCTTTTTAGAGTGCTGTTGGAGGCTTATCTGAGTAGTGCTTCTGGTTCCTGTAGTCTGAAATTTTTCCTCTGGAAAAGGATCCTCTAAAAAGATGCAAATGACCAGCTGTCTGCAAGGAATATGAATCCTTCCATTCCTTCCACTATCCTGTCAGAGCTGAAGTAGCTTCTTGGATGAGAAGTA